CGTGCGCATGCACTTGGATGGGTGAAATGCAGAGCACAAATTCCAAGTATGGGTCACCATACTTGGCCACACGTCACATCCTTTCCTTTCATCACAGGCCTGCGTAGCTGACCACCCAGCCGGGTCCCCATGCTAAATGCAAGCCATCACCAACAGCACATGAAATAGGCCCAAGATCATCGAGATTGGACTGTGGGTGATTGGAAGAAAGTGGCCTGGTCTGACAAATCAAGATTTCTGGTGCATCACGTCAATGGCCGAGTGTGGATATACCCATTACCAACAGAGGCTATGGCACCTGGATGCACTGTTGGGTGGACACAGGCTGTGGGTGATGTTTTCTTATGTCATCCCAATAGCTCAATCCCTGACAGCTGTCAGGTATCTGAACATCGTTGTGGACCAAGTGCACCCATTCATGGCAACTGTGTTCCCTGCTGGTGATGGCCGTTACCAACAGGATATTGCGCCATGCCACACTGCCAGAATTGTCAAGAAGTGGTCTGAGGAACATGATGTTGAATTTCTGTTAATGCCTTGGACTCCAAATTCACTCAGTTGAACATTTGTGGTTTGACTTGAAAAAGCAAGTTTGCGCCACATCACCCCGCCACCTCATCGAATTAATTCCTCGCCGTGTGGCTTGCTGTTTTGTGGGCTAAAGGAGATCCTGCAGGTTATTAGATAGGTGGTCATAATGGAATGGCTCATTAATGTGTATGTAAGTGCGAACTCGTGAATTTTCTAATCTGTCTATTTAAGCCCTGATTTTGTTCTGATCATTGTTTGGTCTCGTTTATGGTAATGTGTAGTTTGTTGTTTTGTGTGTTTATTAAAACTCCTTGTGAACCACCTTCTTTGTGTGCTTTATTTGGATTGTACTACACAAAAACGTGACAAACATTATTAATAAGTGCAAGCTCCACTATTTATACTGCATGTGCAAACTAATTCTCGCTGGTAAAGAAGCTTTAAGACGTGTGCTTTCTTTCACTTTCTTTGCTTAAACTCACTAGCCTACTCTTGCTGTGTATGCTCTAACATACTGTATACTTATGTATAAAAACCACTAACACATTAGAATTGTCTTTCTGCATTGCAAATAAGAACTCTCTTCAAAAGTGAGAACCATTTTTAATAAGTGCAACACTTTACATAGCATATACAAAGTAACTACCGCTGGGAAAGGAGCTTTACAGTATATGTATGCTTGCATTCACTTTATTCACCTAAATTACACATCAAATTTTGCTGAGAAATTACCCCCAAAAGAAAATTTAAAGTAATTATTGTGTTAAATGAGAAAAGCATATCAAATAGACATTACAAAAGTAGCTTTTTTCACAAGCCGCTTCTGAGTTGGTATTGAGATTAATTTACAGACCATTTATTGTAGCTCCAAAACAGTTTACAACTATTAACCTGTAGTTGTTGTGAAGTGCTTCTAGAGTATTAATGCAGTGGGTTTATGGGTTAATCTGACAAACCACGTTGGGGTTACCTTTCATCCCAAAATCAAATGAATGAAATAGAAAGAAAATGTAGAATAAAATAAAAATCAGCTACGAGAAATCACTATTGAGAATAATACGATTTTTTTTTAATATTTGGAGGGACAATGTTCATACTTCTCATCAAAAAATAAATAAATCAAGAAATGATGGTCCTAAAAGAAAACAAAATATATATTTGAACAAAATATAATTTTCTTATCTTTTCTTTTGATTTTGAGGTGAAATGTGAACTAGACATGATTTCACAAGATTCACTTTTACAGGGGTTTGATAGTGAGCATCAGCTCTTTGCCCAGAGGAGGGACAATGTATTTTTCCTCCCTGAGTAAACGCAGTAACAGGTCCTTAGCATCCTCAGGCCACCTGTACAGACGTGTGCTCTGTAGCCAGAGTGGAACATGACTCTGCCAGAAAAAAAGCAACAGATTTTAAACTAATAATATTCTTCATACATACTGTACATATTTATGTATTTAATTTCCTTACTAAACATGTCTCACATCCCATGCCCTCAGCAGAGTTTTTTTTTTCTTCTTTTTTTGGTGACTTACTTGGTTAGCACTGGGAAACAGCACTGGTACCAATCTGAAGTTTAGACATCTCTGCAGAATGAATTCATTTTGGATCTGAAAAAAGGAAACAATCAAAAACATGCACCGCTAACCCAAAGGAGAAGTAGATCTATACATAGTGGGTATCAAAACCTACACAACACTGTTAAAATTGCCATTTTTGGAGTTATCAGTTTTAGACATAATACATTTGAAGTGTGTTAGAGATATTGGCTCAGAATAATTAAAACAATGTGACATAGTTATAACTTCATCAACAGCATTCCCTGATGGTAAAATGCTGTATCTTATAAGATCAACCTTATCAAAACATTTAAAGAAGCTTTTACACAGATCTCTACAAGGATGAGAAGAGACAGCTGTCAGACAGGTCTCACCTGAGTGTGTATGTACTTGGTGTGTAGTCCATGTTGATCAGATCCATCTCCCTCAACATCTGTCTTATACTTTGGACTGATCACTACAATGATTAACACTGACTTCTGCAAAACAAATTGATCAGATTCCAGTAGAAAGCACAGAATATAAACAAAAACGAACTGGTCAATTTTGCTTAAAAAGTACCTGTTTATAGAACGGATATCTACAGACAAATTACAACCGTGCTAATTTTCATAACAGCACTCCTGCACATGATATTGCTCAGTTTAACTTCAGCTCACGACTGTGAAAGCTATATTCAGTGTTGTTCAAGAAATCAATTTCAAATAACATTGTCATGGTCAGTTGCAGTGAAGGAGAAATGTAGCTCATTCTAGTTGCAGCAGTTTTATTAAAACTCAAAAAGATAATCCAAAAAGACAAGAATGATTTTGGTTAAACTAACCAAACTAACCAAAACGATGACAACAGAAAATGAACAACAGAAACTGAGGGCTATTTATACACACAAAGGAACAAACAACCAATGAGTAACCTAAGAAACTAACCAGTTGCGGGAAAATGAGGACAAAAACTAGGACAACCAAACTAGCCCAGCCGGAGCCGAAGGGGTGAAGGGACAAGCCACAACTCTCCAATGCAGAGACGGAGGGACGAAGATGCCTGGTGGAATCAGAAGAGGGACGACGGCCCATGGTGGAGCTGAGGGAACAAGGTGCCAAGGTGGAGCCGACTGGACGACGGGCCGAGGTGGAGCAATGGGTTCAGAGCTAATGGGTCAACTCTCCAGGGCGGATCGGAAGCACTATCTCTGTTTCCCAGTCCTCAGTATCCAGTTCCACTCTCTGGCATGGATGTTAGATCTGGTCAGACATGACTACTGGCTCAGGGACGAACATGGCTTCTGACATGTCTCGGGCTCTAGCTCCCTCTTTAACATAGCCTAAACAATTGTTACTACTTTTTTTTTTTTTTCCAGTGAGAGATAAATGCTTAACGTAAAACTTCGCGCGCTGTGTTCATATTCTGGGCTCTTCAGCAGTTTGATCTTTTAATATCACTGTCGTAATGCGTAGCTAAGCCAGTTAAGTGTAAAAATATGCAGTTCGATCACAGTGTGATTGTCTTGGAGGTATAGCCTAGTGTTTATGACAAGTGAAATGTGAGAGAAAATTGATTTTCCCTGGTTGCTGTTTTAGAACATGATTAAGCCGCATTAAGAGTTTTTCACAGGCTTTTCCACTGCACTACCTTCACGCTCGTGTCTCGTGTCGTTTGCAGTTTCTCGAGAATGACACGGCATTCTAAAAACGCGCTCAAGTCAAAAGAGTTTTTTTTTTCCAAATTCCATTGCCGCATCTTGTGTTTTTCAAAGCAAAAGCACGTTCTATGTGCTTTGTGAATGCCTTTTAGAATGTCCTGCGAAGGGGCCCTCCAAAGAGGCGGGGACCCCACGCACCGTTTCAGAATGGAAGGTTTGTCAAACATGAGAAAGCAGGGTAAGTCAAGCCCGTTTCTGAAAGAGAGGTAACTTATACTCAGAGTCAGTTACCATGGTAACTTACTCTGTGAACCTAACCTGGGGTGCATTTCCTAAAAGCAACTATGGTCGCAAGTTCCATCGCAGGTTTTCTTCGTTAAACCCAGAGTTTCTTTCGGTCTCCTCCCCCTTTTTAAAGTGTAAGCGATGTTTAAACACCTCATTCATTCATTTGAGATTCTGTGAGATTCAAGCCGGTTCTGTGATCAGTAGTAAATCTTTTGTTTATTCAGCAACCACTATCCACAAGTTTCCTACGCCCCATGAGGCCTTGCGTCAAAAGTGGGAGCGTCTTCCGGTTTGAAGTAAACAAGCAGGACGTGATACTCATTCATTCAACAGTTGACAGTCAGTCATTCAAGATTCAGCGATCCAAACTTGCTAATGATGTGGGAACACAACTTCAACTAACTTAAAAAGGGTGAAATAACAGTACCTTTACCCTCTGTGGTAATGGCCTCGTATCACATACAGTAGCATTTTTAGCTATTTTGTAGATTCTGTAACTTAGCCTGTTATGGTAAGGCGATGAACAATTTGAAAAGCTCAGAGGCGTTTCAGTATCTACACAGTGATAAAGTCGGTCAGGTGTTATTTAAGGATGTCGGAAAAAACCTAATGATTTTAAAAGCGGACATTGAGCCGATCTAGAGCCTACACATGTCACAATCATATAAGGCTTGGGTGCTAGCATCAGTGACAGATAGCATCATGTATTGCAGGGCCAGGACGCTATGCAGCAGCACTTTTGTGGAAGGTCAGTAAAGTAAGGACAATTAAGGGCACGAAAGTTGTTTATTGTATTGTGATATTATTAAGTAACTAATAAATGCACTAAACTGAAATGTTTACTGTGTGTCATTCATGTTCTGCATATGTTGCTTCACAGTAGCCTTCACTTAAAATCTTTAGTCTAAGATTTTTGGATGATAAAATTAGCACACAAAGTACTTGGGATGCACCAAAACCGAAAATTCTGGATGTAAACCGAAACTGAAAATGCTTCGTAATAATGAATTATTTTATTAAATAATATAAAGTAATTTTGTAAGACTTTTAATGAAAGCAACGCAAAAATTTGGACAGAAAATATATTAATATTAAATATCAATATATTATTTTTATTCAGTATTATCAGAGCATGTGAGCAGAGCATAGCGGGGAGCAGATCAGTGAATGAGAGGGTAGCGTTGCCCAAGGATAGCTCTACTAAACGATGTTACATGTTACACACAGTAGCGCTATTGAAAAGAGGAACAAGTTTACTACATAGAAATTTCCTGCCAGCGCGTTGAGCGGACTTTGCTTTTCCAGTGAGCATGAGCGGTACATGAGCGGCACGCACATTCATAGAGTGGAATATTGAGCAGAGTGTCACAGTAACGGCGGCTAGAGGGAGAGAGAAACCTGCGCTAAACACCTGTGCTAAACACTGCTCTAAACGGCCATATATTCTCGGCCGTTTTTCTCTTTCGGCCGAAAACCGAAAGTGGCATTTTCAGCTGTCGAAATTTCGGTGCATCCATATAAAATGCCATTCGTATACTACTTCCGCCGCCTCACCGGAAGTTGTACCCACGTTCGTTTTTACAGTAGCGCCCCCGGAAACAGGTGGATAGGGATTTCCTGGATTTCTTTTGTGGGGTGTATTTGTAGTTTCAGCGCGAGAGCGCCCTCTGGCCTTCGGATGGAGATTTACTACTGATCACAGAACCGTGCTTCACTGAAAGATACGCATGACAATCGCAACTTTTGCCTAATTGCTATTTATCGCCTTTGCGATTTAATTTCGATTAATCGTGTAGCCCTAGTTTAAGGCAAAAAAAACACATTATTTTTTCACATACTGTACATTATTGTTGCTCCTCTATGCCCCGCCTTTCTGAAACGCGTTGGTTTTTACAAAGTTCATCGTTCTGAAAAGCGCAGTGTGCCCTGATTGGCCAGCTATCTAGTGCGTTGTGATTGGCTGAATACCTCAAACGTGTGACGGAAATGTTACGCCCCTTACCAGGTTCAGGAAACTTTCCTCCATAAAATGCACTGCACACACTCGAATATTTGGGTTGTACGGTTCTGGAAAAGTGTTGTAAATACAACTTAACCACTGATTTCTAGTTGTGTCCTCATTGGAAGTCAAAACAAAGTAGTTTGGCTTTCGCAACTAAACAGACAGTGTCTCCACGACATGGTGGCAGTGGCAACAATACTACAGCGAAAATAAAAGTTACGCCTTCTTTATTTGCGTATACGTTTTGTGCGGTGTTATGCAATTCTTCCCACACAGTGACATAGATATGTGGGGGCATGTTTGAACGATGTGTTTTAGGAAGGTGTGGCTGAGTGTTCACTTTTATAAAGAATATCTCTTTGGGTTTAAGACTTTAATCTGTGTGACTTTACGGATCTTCTGTATGCATTGATCATAAGCGTCTGCCAGATGGAAGTGTGGCAAACAAGTGGTGACCAGGGTGAGTGCAGTTCTTGATAATGCTGCGGGCCTTTCTCAAGCAGCGTGTTTGATAGATGTCCTGTAAGGCCAGGAGTTTGTGTCCAGTAATGAGCTCTGCTGTTCTCACCACTCTCTGAAGAGCTTTTCGGTCGGAAGAAGAGCAGTTGCCGTACCATACAGTGATGCAGCCGGTCAGAATGCTCTCTATAGTGCAGCGGAAGAAGTTTGACATGATGTCAGAGGAGATGCCAAACCTCTTCAGCCTCCACAGGAAGTATAGACACTGACGGGCTGTTCTCACTATGATCTCTGAGTGTGGGCTTCCAGAAAGTTCCTCAGAGATGTGAATGCCAAGGAACTTGTAGCTCCTGACTCTCTCTACTTCCTCTCCATTGATGTGAATGGGAACGTGACCATCTCTCCGTGACTTCCTGTAATCCATGATCATCTCCTTGGTCTTGCTGACATTTAGAGAGAGATTGTTTTTAGCACACCATACTGTGAGAGCATTAACTTCATATCTGTAGGATGTCTCATCGCCATTAGTGATAAGTCCTAGGATAGTTGTATAGTCAGCAAATTTGACGATGATGTTGGTGCTGTACTTAGCAAAGCAGTCGTAAGTAAACAGCGAGTACAAGAGTGGCCAGAATACATATCCCTGTGGGGCACCAGTGCTGAGTGTGAGTGCAGAGGATGTGTGGTTGCCAATTCTGACCACCTGGGGTCTGCCGGTCAGGAAGTCCAGGACCCAGTTACATAAGTGACTGTTGAAACCTAGATCCTTCAGTTTGGCTATAAGTTTGGTAGGGATGATGGTGTTGAATGCAAAGCTGCAATCAATAAACAGCATCTGCACATATGTGCCTCTTCCCTCCAAGTGTTTCAGGGCAGAGTGAATAGCCATTGCACTGGCGTCGTCAGTGGATCTGTTAGTCCGGTAAGCAAATTGGAATGGGTCCAGGGTGTCAGGTAGAGAGGAGCAGATGTGGGATTTGACTGAACGTTCAAAGCACTTCATGATGACTGATGTGGGGCGGTAGTCATTCAGGGATGGAATGATGGTGGTCTGCTTGAAGCATGTGGGGATCACTGTCAATCTCAAGGAG